GTCATTAGGGTTAAGGGGCTTAGAGGCACATGGGGAAAGCCACCTCTTGGTACTCATTTCTAGCAGCATGATCCATTCCTGTAGGTTTTTATTTCCAATTGGTGATTTGGGTAAATATTACATATAAGCTAAAGGCAGTTAACTAATTGGACAGATGGTTTCAGCTATTTTTTTACTAGTATGTGTGTGCATTTCCACTGAAGAGTACCAGTGGTGCTCCTGACTTGGCATACCTTAGGATAGCAAAGGGTTTCTCTTTCTAGTTGTTATGGAGCTGGAGTCTAAAAATAATCTCCTCTTTTTCACCTCCAAATCAACTAAAAGGCAGAAATGAGAAAACCTTGAACTTCAGGAGTGATCGTAGCTTCTGTCTTCATCCCAAGAAAATACAGAGCAGATGATCATCGAACACCCTTTTATTGTCCAGGATTAATTTAATGATTGGGTACTTTGGGCAGAAGAGGAGTGAGGGATTTAGATAGAGTTGGAGGATAACAGTGGAATAATGCATTGGGCTGCAGCAGGATTTGTCTGTTCTAATTATACGAAGAGATGCTGTTTGGTTGCATCCCCTACCCCCCTGCTTCTACCAGTTGGCAGATTCCTTGAGCGTGATCATGTAAATGCTGAGAGGTAACAGTTTTTTACATATTTCAAGATCAGTGAGTAGATTCTGCCTCTCAAAGTGGATGAGATTTTTGTGACCGGGTTAATTTTGGAGTTTTATTTTGTTTTGTTGGTTTTTCTTTTCTTTCTTTCCCCCTCTCCCCCCCTTTGTTAAACACAGTGCTGGTATTCTTGCCCTTTCCCTCCTTTCTTCCAAACCCTCCATTGTTTCTGCAGGCTTAGTTTACTGTGTGAAAACCAGTGGAGGCATTCTGCAAATTCTCAGCTGTTAAACTGCATATGGTTTTTCCAGAATGGGATACAGGTGCCTGGATTCCCAAGCTGCTGATTTAGTAGTGTGGGGATGGGAGGGGTTGCAAAAGGCCCCTGCTTCACACCCCTCTCTCCCTTTCCTCCCCTCCTATTTTGTAAGTCATGTGTTTGCACATTATATCCAGGAGATCATATCAAAAACCTGTGCCTACCATTCTGCTATTGGAAAGGTAACTTGTGCTGCCATTTATCTCCACACTAAGTGCCTTAATTCACTGTAGGAACATTTTCCAGAGATTTTCAAGGTGCTGCCATTCCTAAGCATACTAATAGAGAGAAAGTAGCATCTTTTACAGTCAGACTGACCTTTGAATAGAATCAAGCTTATGAGACTTACCAAATGCTGTGTATGTTGGTATTATTACAACTGAAAATTTCTGGTATCTTTTAATTGTGCCAGGAAAAAATACATGAAGTTCTGCTCTTCTTCAATCTGAAGATAAATAATGTAATGTGTAGTGTGCTTGGTTATCACGTGGGACAAGATTATATAGAAACAATTATCTTTTAGGGAATAGTAGGGTACTTTTTAATAGTATCATAGAAACATAGTATTTACTCCGAACCTTAAGCAGACAATTGTTATAAAATATGCATGGGTTTATTAGTGTTTTCTTGTGAAGTACAAAAATGTCCATGCTTTACTTATTAAATATGATTTTAAACTGGAGTAGCTCTGAGTTTGTCACTAGGCTGCTATTACTAGCCTGTAAACTTGAATTAGTCCTCTTCAATGAGAATTTTCTAAGGAGTATTCTAAAAGTACTCTTGCAGAAGTTTAACTTAGACCAGCTTGTCCATTTACTTAGGATAATTTATATTGTAAGTGCAAAATTTTCATTGTTGCATATATCTTATCAGTAATTGGTGTAGTTCATATCCAGGATGTTTGCAAGGGTAGATGAATTTAGCTCACATAAAATCCTGATGAAAAGCATTTGTGGTGACTATTGCTTGTGGGAGTTGGTGTTTCTGGGCAGTCTCTCCAGAACTGCCAGTTACTGCATAGCTGGAGTTTGATGGAGGAAATTTGGTGTACATGAATGTGTAATTGTTGGGTTTGTCCTTCCTCATTTATTCTTTCTCTAATTTCGCCTTAATATAGGTGCTGTTCTTGGGGAATGTACTAAATTCAGTGAAGCTTCTCACTGGACAGAAAGTATTTACCTACATTTGCAGGCAGAAAATCTGCCCTTTATACTAAAGTTTTCACTGAGAAAAATGCCTTCTCTCAGTATTTCTACCTTGCACTAACATGGTGTACTCTCAGGGTATAACATTCAGCATGATACTGATTCTTCAGGCAGCTCACAGGAGTTTGCTCATTCTCTTATTCTTGCATAAGCGGTCCTGTAAAACTGTGCAAATCTTTCTTTCTTTGTTTCCAGCCTGAACAAGAAATATGCAAAAGCTCCTTGTCAGTCCTCTTCAGCAGCTGTTATTTGGAATAACTTGTTGAAGATGCTTTGAAAAATCAAGTTACCCTTTATCATTTTAGGGGATGATCTGGCACCATTAAAAGACAGCTGATGTGCAAATGGTGATATGGATGTCAAGAAGCCTTTGGCTCTTGTCCAACCCTGGTTTTTACCTTTGAGGATTGATTGTGTGAGACTTCCTTATGTGATGCTGGTTGTCACAATCTGTGTTAAATTGCAAGAAATTAATTTCAAAAGCAGGCTCAGATAAGCCAGGAGACTGGGGTTACAGGAGCTGAAAATAGGATGCCATTCAAGGTTTGTTCTAGGCTGGCTATAAGAAGGTTTCTTCTGTGACTGCAAGCAGAGAGCTGGGGAGTGGTACTGTCCCTGCCCTTACTTAATAAAGATAGGAACACAAATGCAGTAAGAACTACCTTTGCCCCGGTTTTGTGCTGGTTTTGACCCTAGGAGTTTCAAAAAAAACATGACAAAATTCCAAGAGTAAGCTTTACACCAGCAGGAAGCATCCTTAATAAATCAAAGAACAGATAGCTCTGAGACATAGATAATTATGTTTCTGGAAGGTAACCATGGATGATGGCAAATATACAACCATTTTTCATGATGTCTCCAGGCAATTATGAAGATACTTTGTCAATGGTGATAGGAGGATGGGGGAGGGCAGAATCCTCCTTAAAATTCTAACATAGTGTGTTGCAGAGCACTAGGAGGAACCAGAAGGGCTTTCTGTGTGGGTTTTATTACTTGGCAGGATTCACTATGACTATATCTCCAAAGACTGCCTTTTTTTTTTTCTTTTCTTTTTAAAGTTGCATTTATGTATATATGATACTGTTTGTTAGCCAAAAAAACAACCCCGCCTTATCAGACCACATACGGGTTTATTTGTAAAATGTTTCTAACTGCTTGCTAAACATGACTGGAAAACCCTGTAGCTGTGAAGGCAGTCACTCACTTGTCAGAGCTCAGAGTTCCCTGTTAATCACAAGAAGTTTGTGCAAAAAACAACTGATCCACCAGTGAGCCTCTTCAATCAGGCTAAATCTGCACTCTGTTTTCTTCCTTTTTAATTACATCTGTTGATTTTTTTAATTTATTAATTCTTTAATATTCAGCATGCAGTGAGGAGTGTGCTTCTGAAATTGTGAATTAAATATGTCATTTTAAGAGGAAGAAAGCCAAGTGCCTAATGCAACAGCCCAACTTTAATATCTCTGGTTAACAAAACACTTGCCTAAAGCAAAGCCAAAGCACCCCACAGGAGTTCTCTTTTCAGTGGGAATTTGTTAGAATTATTTATTAAATTTTTAAAAAATTTGTGCACTTTTATGATTGGATTGGACAAAAGTCATGGACAAAAGTCAGCACCAGATACTTTTTTGCTTAAGTTGTTAAATTTGAAAACAAATGATGAAGAAACCAAAATAAATAAATGAGTCTGTTTTTTGAAATTGCAGTGTAATGGGAACCAGACTCGTATCCAAACGAGCCTCCAGATACAGTCTGTGCCTGCTTTGAAACTGTAATCACTGTCTGGCTATGTGTGCAGGACACACAGGAGCATGTCTGGCCTGTGAGATAATGGCTTTGGATTTGCAACATGGCCCAGCTCTCCTGGACTCTCCCCTCCGCCCAGCCCCACCTCAGCTCTCCTTGCCCCAGCCACCGCTGTGCTTCAACTGATGGCATAGCTGGGGAGGGGTTTGGTGGGAGGTGGGGAACAGCAGTGCTGTCCAGCTATAAGACTGTTTCTAATCAGTTTTTAGTAATCAGTCAAGGAAATGTAAGCATTAGATATGTTTGGGTTTTAATTAGTTTGCTTGCTGGAAATCCTTTGCTTGTTAGTCTGTGAAAAATTACAGTTGTCAACTAAAATTTAGGCAAGAATCCTCTATAATCATTTTGGAAGCAATTCTTCTGAGGGTGCCCAAGCTTAGATTTGAGCTCCTAAGCACCTGAAGGTGAGAATGTTGACCACTGTGTGAAATGGAATAGGACAGGCTGAGTTCCCTGGCCATGGTGAAGCAGGACAAGTCTGCTGGGTTCTCATGACAGGTCCTGCTTTACATCAGTAGGTGAACCTGGTGGTTATATCCAGGGTACACCCACACTTGAAAGAGAGAGTAACTAATGCTGTAAGGCTACTGGCTTATCACAGATTTGTTTAACAAGTCTAACAAATGTACACCAATTTCCTCTGTAAAACAAAAAAAGCCTACACGAAGACCACTTATTTCCTTTCCCCTCCCTTTTATGTAGCTGTAATCCTGTTTACTGCAAGTGCTTCAGAAACACTAAATGGGGGTTAGAAGTATGTGAGCAGATGCTCAAAAGTGTTTGGCTTTTTGCTATTCCTTCTGTCACATCTTTTTATCAGATGGTATAGATGTTATAGATGCTTTTATGTCTGCAGTAAGCACAGTTCACCCTCTTGTGCAAATTGACTGAACACCACTTGCAAACAAAATTTGAATGTTAATCGATTTAAATAGATGACTTGAATACGCTCTCAGTAGTGCAAGTCCAGTTGACTATCGAGTCGTGTGCCAACAGAGTAAGTTAGAAAGTGTGTGGAAGTAAAACAAAACCCTGTGTAAAACTCCTCCTTTTCTCTGCTAGTGTTTAATTATTGGAGGTGGCCCATGTGGCTTGCGGACTGCCATAGAACTTGCTTTCCTGGGAGCCAAAGTTGTCGTGGTGGAGAAGCGGGACACTTTTTCAAGAAACAATGTGTTGCATCTCTGGCCATTTACCATCCACGACCTCCGGGGACTGGGAGCAAAGAAATTTTATGGAAAATTCTGTGCAGGATCAATTGATCATATCAGTAAGTATCTGAGGGCGTGGGCACTGTTCACCTAAGAGGTTGCCAAGAGCAGGAGATTAACAGAGACTCTCTTGGTTTGCCAGAAAGTTCATCTGCCTTAAACATGTGCTAGTGCCTGTGTGCACACACACACAGGGGAAAAAAATGGCCTCATTGAAGCAAAATGGCAGTAGAACAAGTTACAGTCTTATGGAGCAGCTTTTTTGTTAGTCTGAACTTGTTAAACAATAGGTTTTGATTGTGAAGTATGAAGAATACTGATATTTATTCCAGTATTTTGAAGGTAGACACAACCCTAGTCTGAGAAAATATCTGAAAGTGGGCTAATTTAGAGGGAAGTATGATGTAAAATCTTGTATCCTAAAATGGTCAGCATATTGGTTAGCAGATCTTTTGAATACCATTAAGAGGGAAAACTCTACAGAAGTATTCGAAGAAATTCAACTGCAATGAGTTTTATACACAAGATTGTGCTGCAAGAGGAAAAGGAGACGGAAGAGAACAACATCCTGTGGTGGTTGCTAAATTTGCATTCGTCACAGTGTAGGAAATAATAATGCTTCATGCTTGTGTTAACAATGAATATCAGTTTGGTGGCATGCTGGGAGCAGCTGTGATTGCTTACTTATTAAATACACCTTTGTTACTTGCTGTCTACAGGTATTCGACAACTTCAGCTTATCCTCTTCAAAGTTGCACTTCTACTGGGAGTTGAAATCCATGTGAATCTAGAATTCGTGAAGGTCCTGGAGCCTCCCGAAGATCAAGAGAACCAAAGTATTGCTTATCATAATGTAGTTCTGTTCACAGTAACTTCTTTTTATGTGAGGCATTATGTGAAGTCATTTGAGGTAGTTGAATTCTGTTTAAAGAAACAGATTTTTGTCCTTCTTATTCAGCAATCTTTGCTCTCTGCGGTTGTAGGCATGACAAGTATCGTGGAGACAGAGCACTGATAATTCCTAAAGTATGACCCAGGCTGAGAAGCTGAGGTTTTGCACTATGCCTTCTGGCATATGTTTGAGGCTTTGTAGGGAGTCTGGTGTGGCTTCTTGGTATCTTCTTGCAAAAACAAATTTTGATTGATAATATAAATATTGAGGATGGATTAAGCGCCCAGGGCCTCATTTTGCTTTCACATTTGATATAACTCCCACTGGCACATTGAGTCTTATCAACATTCTATGCAAGATTTTTAAACAAAATAGAGATTTCTCATTCTTTTTTTTTTCTATTAAAAAAATATTTAGGGTGTAGTAGCAATAGAATATTTTAAAATTTTACTATAATTGAAATATTCTGCTATCTCTTAAAAGGGTCATAAGTGACAGTAGAGCAAATATACTGTTTTAAGTAGTTGAAGTATATATAATTTTAAAATATGGACAATACCAACATATTCACATAATCAGCTTTGTGTTAATGCAAAGATTAAATTTAGCTTTGTGAGTATTCTTGCATTTAATTTCTATTTAGAAGACAGTTAAAAGCATTGAAGATGGAATGCCATTTTTTTTTTCTTTTAATACCCAGCTTTTCCTTGCTGTACCTACGTGTTATGTACTGCCCTGATAAGGTAGCTGTGGAGTTATTTATGTGAGAATTAAGTGCTTAAGCGTGTTCTTGTGGTATGGGTCTGAGAGGAAGTTGAGTGCAGGAGGTGATTCAGATGAAGACTTCCTTTTTTTTTTATTCCTTTGGCTGCAGCAGAGCTTCCCTACATCTGACCAAGGCAGAATTCAGCTCCATTGGAATGAGAAGTAGATTGTTTATCTTAGTGCCCTTTCTTCAGACTCTGAAATCCTTTCTCCATTGTATTACTGAAGAATTATAAATATTGTGTTTTCAGAAACAGGTTGGAGGGCTGAATTTCTCCCCGTGGATCACCCGTTGTCAGAGTATGAATTTGATGTTATTATTGGTGCTGATGGCCGCAGAAACACCTTGGAAGGTGGGTGTTGTGAATGCGTGGTCTTTAGGGGATCTTGAAAGACCTGAAAGTCAGAGGAGAACACAGAGCAACAGGTTACCTTTCAATCCGTTGAAGTCTGTGTGGAAACTATTATTTTGTGTGGTATCTTTTGCTTTTGTTGTTAAGTTGTAGCTCAGCTACAGTTAAAAATTGTCACAATGAAGACATTTAATGTCATTACTGCTTCTGAGTTCTGTGTATCTGCATTGCCTACAGAATGCATCAGAGTGCTATTGGGCTTGCTTCAAGGCTGAGTAATTTTACTGTGATTTAACTTCAAGGACGCTGACAAGATACACGTCAGGAACTTCTTAGTCTATTGTGCTGTAAATTTGCCCTGTATGTTTGAACTAATGACCAAAAGGTGATTGCAAGGTATTTAGTGAAGTCATCAGAGGTATCATTGTTTTGTAGAGGAGATTGAGCTTCAGAAACAAATCCTTTGGAAGAATACCAAAAGATAATAAATAACTCTAAAGTGTGTGGGAAGAGAGGGGGGTAAATGCTTCATGAACTTGAGTTGCTGCTAAGAATTCAGACCACCTGGGCTGTTTTTCTTAAGGAGACATTAGATATGCTGCTCCTGTATCACATGAACAAACCTGTTACTTAAAGATATATTTCCCTTTTAGATTTGATTGTATCCATGCTAGTTTCTGTTCCCTAAGTACACGATTTCTTTTTTTTATTAGCTTCATAGTTTGTCTGCTTATTCTTTTATCTGCCAACCACAATATGCTTACAACTAATTCCTTTTAATGCTGTATTGGAAATTTTCCTATGCTGTTGCCCATAAAAGACTCTTTAAATAGTCAAGTACCAGCATAGTGAAATTATTCTTTCCTCAAGTGCAGACAGTCTTGAGAAGTTAATGGTTATCATCATACCAGGATGTAAGGGAGTATTTGGTGCATTGAAGGTACATACAGTAGCTGGTATTGTCATATTAAATCTATCCCAATGAAATAATGAGAACATACCAAGAAACATAGAAACAAAAACTTGTAACCGATTCATTTCTTCTCATAAAATTCTCTCACGTCATCTGCAATTGGCTAAACTACACTCTAAGCACCCTCTGTCCTTCTTCATAATTTAATTATGGATACAGGGAAGATACACATGGAAAAACTAAAATGTGTGATTGCAACACTGTGGCTTAGTGGACTTTTTTTTGTGAAAAGAGGAAGAAAAGGTGGATCCAGAGAGCAAGGAACTTCACAGTCTGTCTCACCTTGGAAATATAACAGTTAAGCCACTGAACATTTTTCAACCCCAAATACCTTTGAAAAATCTCATCAGCTGGTGGTGTGTGAACCTAAGCACTGCTACAGGGATTTCTGTTTTTCACATCTTTCTCTGCTGCTTTTGACTGCTGATCTCTTGCATCTTTTTTTGTGAGCTGTTTACCACCTATGTAACAAATACCTGATTTGGTATTTAGCATATTAAAAATGTCTCCATCCACCAAATTTGATCTGTTCTATATCCAGACATTGCCAAAAAATGTTCTATGTTTTTTTTGTCATGATTTTCCCTTAACTTCTTCCCATAATTCCTCTCCAGACCTTTTTTTTTTTTTTTTTAAATGAGACTTTATCTTGCATGCAGTACAGCTCCAGTTTTGCAGCTGAAAATGAGGAAAAAAGACTCTTTGCATTTAAGGGAATTTTGGAGGAATGATGGAATCTACTGATGGTGTATTGTTTGATGAAGTGTAGGACTAGTGTAGGAAAGACACTGAGCTGTTCCCTCTCTGAAGTCCAGTGTGAATTTCCAGTGGTTTTAATTCTTCCTCTTTGCTTACCAGGCTTCAGGAGGAAGGAGTTTCGTGGAAAGCTGGCCATAGCCATCACTGCCAATTTTATAAACAGAAATACAACTGCAGAAGCCAAGGTAGAAGAAATTAGTGGAGTTGCTTTCATCTTCAATCAGAAGTTCTTCCAAGACCTTAAAGAGGAAACAGGTGGGTGCATCCTCATTTTTTCCACTACCAAATACAATAGTCAGCAGAGGAATACTTTATGTGCCAGGCCACCCTCCTATTCCTGTTAACATCAATTTAAATGTATTAAAAAAAAATTCCAAGTGATAAAATGTTGTTGATGTCAGAATCTTGCAGATGGAGGTGTCCATTTATGGTACATTTTTTAGCTGAGCCATTGCCACATCATAGCTTGTTTTAATGTTTAAATTTTTCTCAACTGTAAAAATGTCTGCTATGTTGAACAAATTTAGAAGAGTATTTTCAGGGCTCAGAAATTTCCCTTAAGACATAGTTTGTTTTGTTTCTATCTGTTCACATACTGAACAGCTTAAGAACTTTGAAAAAGGCTTTGCCCTTCTGGGAGGAGTTTATTCTTGCTTATTGATGTGCAGAGCTGATAAACTGAGAATTTATCTGCTGTAAATACTAAAAATATAAACTGTGAAATACTTCTTAATGGAAAGGGGTTTCAGAATAGTTGCACCCACTGTTTGTGCAAGCAATTCTGTTCCTGATTTACACCTGATTTTTTTATTATTATTATTGAAACCAAAAGTCCTGCTTAGACCAAATGCCAGAGCCCTAGCAGCTGAAAAGCAGTTTGTTCCCTTGGCACCCAGTTCTACCACAAAAGACTGTTAATGCTGTAGTTAACTGGCTGTTCCATGAAAGAAAGCTGAATAACTTTAACTGTGCTGAGAAGAACTCCTGTGGGGTGAGGCTGATCTCCTCTCATGTTTTGTTTTATGACATTTTATCCACTAATACTTCACCCTACCAGGGAAAGCGAATGCATCCCAAGAAGGAAAGGCACCTGCGGGAATCACTCACATGTTGTTAGTAAATGACACAGGCAGTGCACTGCACTTGGTAACAAATGTGTTATCTCTTTTCAGGGATTGACCTGGAGAATATTGTTTACTATAAAGATAGCACTCATTATTTTGTGATGACAGCAAAGAAGCAGAGTCTTCTGGACAAAGGAGTGATTATTAATGTATGTAAAAATACTGGCTAAACTTTATTTTATTTACGTGGTGCAGAATAAGTGTGAACATCTGCATAAACATTGTGGCATGTTATAGAGGGTGTTTATAGACTTAATCGTTTCATTAAAGCTCAGGTCGGTTGGCTCTTACTCTGACTTTTTTAAAATTTGCTTTTACATTCAGTCAGCACAAAGTTTCTATAGAGAACTGAAAACAATACTCTCTAAATTTATCAGTTCCGAAACTGGCTGAAACAGGATCTTGACTCGCCTTGGAAATACGTGGTATGATCATTGTACCAGAAAATAAAAACCTCCTTTATTTAAAGGTGAACTTAGCACAGCGATGTCCAGTTTTATCAGGCAAATAAGGAAGCATAAAAACCTACTCCAGGCTGAATTGCAAATTCTCAAGTGGGTGAAATATGATAGAACGAGGCTATAAACACAATGGCATGAACTTTCAGAGCAGCTTGGGATTTTGAGATCTTTTTTTTCCTTTTTTCTTCTTCTGTAAGATGTAGGGGTTTATTTTCTTTTGTTTCTATAAAGTGTTATGGCACCACTTAAATTTCTCTTCCTGGAAACTCAAGAGAGGTCAATTTTTCTTGCGAAGTAAGACAGTGCCAAAACAGTCGAGTGTAATTTCCTGAAGGAAGTATTTGTAGGGAACTATCACAAGGTTTCTTGGCTTTCTGGTGGAACCACTTAGCTCAGTGCCATGATTCCCTGCCTATTTGAAGACCAGGGCTCCCAGGGCAGAGCAGCTGTCCATGACCAGCCGGGGTGGGAGAAGGGAAAGGCGAAAGCCCTTATGGGGAGCAGGTGGTGAGCCCTGGGGTTGGTGTTTGTAGGTGGGGGCAGTCCCAGGAGATCTCTGGGGAGTTTGGAGAAGAGGAGCACTGGCTGTGGCTCATTAGAGCTTGTTGTCCTGACCTACTTGGGTCTGAGTGGAAAAAAAACCCCATCACAGTCTGTCTGAAACAACTGGGCTAATAGTGGTTCTGTGGTATCATCCTGTGATTAGGGGTCTCATCCGTGATTAGGCTGTAAATAGAAACTGCCTTATTAATAATCACTGGCTTTAAGTAGGATAACCTGCTAAGGCTGGGTCCTTCAGCACTCTGGCAAAGAAAAAGAAAGCCACAGACCAAAACAGCACAACAGAGAAGTCTGAATGTAGTGTCATTACTGAGATGTTAAGTCAAACCTTGAGGCTGAGCCCCACATGTTGTATCATCAGTATTTCTGCTCTCTTGTGGTTTCAGATGTGAGGTGCACATGTGCAAAAAAGCACTGCAGAGGTGATAACATCTTCTGATGGGAGGGAAGTAATGATACGAAAATAACACATAATCAAGGAACTGGGAGGCAGTATAATATTCTGTAGCCAATAAAGCTCCTTGTTCAGTGTTGGCATGGAGAGTTCCTGTTTGGGGGTAGTACAGTAACCTGTATTTGTGTATCAGCTTTTTGGAGGAGATGACAAGTCTTACTTGGTTCTTTTTGCTGTGAGTTGTGTGGCTCCCACTCGTGCTTTAAGACTGCAGTGTTGCAATTCAGAGAGGATAGTGGATTATCTCATGTGCTTCTCTCCTTGCTGCAATTCAGAGAGGATAGTGGATTATCTCATGTGCTTCTCTCCTTGCAGGACTCCATTGATACTGAGTTGCTGCTCTGTGGGGAAAATGTGAACCAGAACAATTTGCTGTCCTACGCCAGAGAAGCTGCTGACTTTGCAACCAACTACCAGCTGCCTTCCTTGGATTTTGCAATTAATCACTATGGCCAACCAGATGTAGCAATGTTTGATTTTACTTCCATGTATGCATCTGAAAATGCTGCAATAGTGAGAGAAAGGCACAGACATCAGCTTCTGGTAGCACTTGTTGGAGACAGTTTGCTTGAGGTATCTTGGAATGTCTTCCAAGTAGTCCTTGGTGGTTTTTTTTTCATCTTATTTCCATAATCCAACCATTCAGTCTACCCTCCAGACCAAAACAAAACATCCTCTCTTGCATGTCCTGAAGCAGTGGTATCTTCTTTGGAATAGACTTTTTTTCCCCTTTTTCTTTTCTCCTTTTTTGTGCCATAGTTTGTCATAGCTAATGCTTGGCTGGCAGCCTCTGGCTTAGATCCCGTTTTGCTTTACGCACATTGTATTTCTGTCTGAAAACTGTGAGCTCTGTGTCCTCAGCTTGGGTGCATGGCATAATTTTCCTGACTGTCATCATGGGGAAAAACTTCATCCAAGTTATTATTGCAGTCTCTGCCGTAATATGTTCTCTTTGTTTTCTTTCTGAAGTGAAAAGTGTATGTTGCAACTATTTTTCTTTTTTTTTTTTAAATTCATGCTGACAACATGAAGCATTTGAAAAGAACACTCCAAAGCAAAATTAGGATATGAGAAGGGCATAATTTTTTCCTTTTTTTTTTTTTTAAAAAAAGTGAAAGAAGCAATCTTTTTCATTACTAAGTCTTGGAGGAGAGACACATCTTAAAACTGCAAACATTGTCTGTGCTGTATTTTAGTTCTTTCAGGGCTATTTTTCTAAGACAGTATGAAACCCTAGACTCCAAATTTTCATTGCATGTTACTTTTGTAATAAGACCTTAAGAAATACAAGGAATTAAAGTGTAAATGCTTCTTACAGCCCTTCTGGCCAATGGGTACTGGCTGTGCAAGAGGCTTCCTGGCTGCTTTTGACACTGCGTGGATGGTGCGGAGCTGGGCTCAGGGGAAACCCCCACTGGAGATCCTTGCTGAACGGTGAGTGCTGCTCTTGTCTGCATCATTCCCGATGTTTTAGAGAGTCACAGTAGTGGTGTAAGGCTGTGGATTTCACTGTGGCGTCCAGAGAAATATTCTTCTTCCCTGTAGTGGCATTGAGATGAAATTATCCATTCCTTAAAGTTACAGAACAATTTACAGTAATAGCCAGCCAGTGCTCTGTGAGCTTCTGCACACTAATACAGAGACCTGGAAATCAGCACGATGTGGTTTAAATCATTTACTTAAATCACTAGTCACTAGAATTAAGTGTGATTCTTAAGGAAATAAACCAAAGATACCTTGTATCAAAAAAACCACCCTCTAACCATTTCAGCACCTCGTTTTTTGTTCTTAAAAAAAATATGAAAAATCCTTAAAGAAGTCTAGATAAATTCTTCAACATTAGTAGCTTTCAGAGTCGGTCTCTACGATTTCAGCTCTGCAGGTTGACTTAGTAGCGCTGATGTTATCTTTAGGCTAATAAATGTGTGGCAAAAGAGAATTACTGTAGTGCTGCATCATAAGCTTCTCTGTGTAATGTCTTTTTGACCGGAGCAAAAAAATCTTTTATTAAGGACACCAGCAATCGTGGTGTCACCGTGGTCTGATGGTTGAATTTGCTGACTTGGGTCCTGCTGGCAGCTACCTTACTCTGCTACAGCTGCCCAGGCTGTTCTGGGGCAGATACCTAACAGTCATGATTGTGGTAATGTGAGTAGGAGCATTGCTAACTACAGCACTTTGGGAAGTTTTAAGATAGGAGCCTGTGGGATGACTCAAGCACGGCATAGACCCAAATGGAAAATTGAACAGCATAGTAAAAAAAAACTGTGGTGGTTATTGCAGGATGACAGGATTTAGTGCTGTTATGTGGTAAAGAATTTACTCCTTGGGTGGATGGTAAAACAAAACCAGATGACTGGGTGATGTAATCTTGGGTTTTTTTCCTTTTTTTTTTTGCCCCCCTTCTTTTTTTTGCTCACTTCCTGCCTCAGGAAGATATGGACATAAGTTCTAAGAACCTGTCTTGTTGTTGTCCTTTTTCTGTCTGGCATCCTCCTGCTAAGTGGTGATAAGAAATGGGATGGATGCATTATGCATTTAGTGCATGACATTTGTCCTGGCAGAACCAAAATAAGGTGTAGGTAGCTGCAAAAAAACCCCAAACAGAACAACCTTTTAATATAATGAATATTTATTTTAATATATAACTCTTGCATACTTTTTCCTCTGTAAGAGAGAGCATTTATCGACTCTTGCCTCAGACGACCCCTGAAAATATTAATAAGAACTTTGACCAGTATACCATTGACCCAGGAACAAGATACCCAAACTTGAACTCAAGCTGCGTTCGACCTCACCAGGTCAGTACATAAAAGGCTTGCTTATGAAATCAGTTCTTTTTTTGTCTAGGATAAATAGAGCTGGAACTAGTGTGCAAACAAAATCTTCTGGAGAATCCTTAATTTAGAACCTGTTGCTGATAAAGTTAACCTGGAAAGAAAACTCTTATTTTCTCTCCAAGCAATTCTAATATTATGCTGCTAATTGCTTTTCCTTGTAGGTGAGACAGTTATATGTCACCAATGAGTTACAGCAGTGTCCTCTTGAAAGGGTGAGCTCCATCAGAAGATCAGTGAATCTCTCCAGACATGGTATGTGGCACCTCACGTTTGCTGCGGTTTAACATTTGTAGCCTTCTGAGCATGCAAGAGCTGACTGAAATTTTGATCTCCCATGTAACTGTAGAGTCAGATATTCGACCTAACAAGCTCTTGACGTGGTGTCAGAAGCAGACAGAAGGATACCGTAACGTGAACGTCACGGACCTCACGACCTCCTGGAAGAGCGGCCTGGCCTTGTGTGCGATTATCCATCGCTTCAGGCCTGACCTCATGTGAGTGACATCTGGAGATCTTGTCAGGTGTAGGGTACATGAAGCACTTACTGAAGTGTAGTGTAAGACTGACCAGAACAACTCTGATGCTCTACAGTCCCCTTCTGTGGGTGTTTTCTGCATGGAAATGCACAACCATTGCCAGGGTTGGGGGGTGGAGAGGGTGGGGTTGGTTTTGCTTTGTTTTTTCTGTATGTCCTTGCATGCCATTTAAAAAGAAATATATATGCTTTCAAAGAGTGGGAAGGCTTTGAACCTTATGATTTATTGTGTTTGTGGGAGTCATGTGTCTATTTAAAACGAAATTTGCAGTGCTTGGAGAATGTGAAGAGCTGTGTTCTCAGGTCCCTGGAGAAAGTGTTTTAGTGTATGTTTACAACCACAGCCATAATGGCACTGTCATGAGTTACAGAAATACCTGGGTGAACCTTGGATGAGCCATCCTCTGTTTTGTAGTGGTTGCTGTGACAATCATGTAGGGAAACGTTGGACCACGGAGGTGGAGGTTTTGCACAACTCTGTCCAGAAGAGCACAGTGCCCTTTCATGTGTGCTGTGCAACAAGGGTTCAGCCCTGGAAATTAACAGCCTAGTGACTGAATGTAAGCCAGCATTCCCCTTTTGACAGTGTTTCTGGGGTCCTAAGGCTACAAGACCCAACTTCTTACATGTGAATATTTTGTAAGGTCCCTCAGTTAGAGGGACAGTGCGTAACAGGTGTCAGGAAATGGCAGTTGCTGGCACTGCTTGGTGCAGTCGGAGGGGTCACTTTTCTCTCTTCTCACCAGTCTCCAAATGCAGTGGATACATTCTCTTGCCTTCCTACACAGACTTGGAAGTCAAAAATGAATTATGGTCAACCTCCCTTTATTTTGGATAAATGGAAGGAATGATTGAGCTCTTTTATGAAGTGTGTTAAGTTGGAAAAAATAGGAGTGATACCCAGGGTGTTAGTTTGTACAGTTTTGCCAGAGGAAGAGCTGATATTTTAACAATAAGATTTCTTTTCCTGGGGTTAGTTTAAAAAAATTAGAATTATGGATGTTTTTGTGGCTGTAATGGGGAGAAAGGGTATAGAAAGCAAAGTAATTTTTGCTGTCTGTGAAAAACTTGTCTTTTTAAGCACTGCTCTCTACAAAGTCGATAAATTTATCTTCCTGAGCTAACAGACCTCCTGCTGTTTAATGCTGTGTTTGGATTTTGTTGGCTTTTTGTTTTAAATGAGCCTGCTGAAGGACTTGGCCAGATGATAGCCAGGCATGCAAGAGAGGGGGTTGCCTGTGGGCAGGGCTGGGGTAGAGGGCTGCCCACAGCCCCCTGGCTCCAGAAATGGGCAGTGGGCGGGTGAGGGAAGAGGAGAAATTCTTTGGGGATTCAAAAACTCACATTCCTTTATGAGGAGAAAGAAACTACCCTGCCTGGAGCTTTGTAATTTATTCACATGTTTATTTTAATCATGAATTTTGGAAGCTGTTCAAGAGGTCAGAGTCTTAGAATAGGTCCCACAGAAAATGGATTAGAGACTGGATAACAGAGTTCCAGATGTGATGTACTTACTTAGTACACAGCTAAATTCAGTTATGACCTGGGCAGTAGGTCCTTGCTCAAACTGTGTGTTAATACCTTAGAAAAAGAAAGGTTAGTGCCTGTGCATATGTGTGCACACACATATACGAAATTTTTTTCATAGAATGCCAACCTAAATTTATTCCTCCTGGCTTTGGTGATTTATAGAACTAATTGAAACTAAGAAGTCAATTGCTAGCAGATGAAGTTTGTAGTGGTGCAGCTGTATTTGGAGAGGGAAAAGGTTTCTTAGCATTTCTGAGGAGGAATTGCATTTCTTCATAAGTGAGAGAATCCTTTTTGTGGGACTACATCAAGATTCAGTTTAGTGAAAAACCTTTTAAATTACATTCTGGCAAAGCCATTATTTGTAATGTGATTTGTATGAGACTCTTACCTTTGGCATTGTGTGGACTCCATAGCTTTGGCCCAGTGAAATGCCTGTGCCTTCATTCCTGGTGCTGTTCTGTGCCTCTCCCATGGGCAAGGGAGCACTGCATGTTCCCGAGGGGAGCAGAGAGAAAACCACTGCTGATGCCACTGTGTTGTCCCCGCAGTGACTTTGATGCTCTGAACGAAGAGGACGTTGTCAAGAACAACCAGCTGGCGTTCGATGTTGCTGAGCAGGAGTTTGGGATCCCCCCTGTGACCACAGGGAAGGAGGTGGGGTCGGCCGGAGAGCCCGACAAGCTCAGCATGGTCATGTACCTCTCCAAGTTTTATGAGCTGTTCCGAGGCACACCTCTGCAGGCCGTAGGTAAGCCAGACCCAGGCTGCTCCTAATTCCTGCAGGTTTGGGAAGTGGGAGTGCTTCATCCAGTCTGCAGACGAGCACTGCTCTTGAGCCAAGAGTCCTTTCCCAGCTGAGCCATTCTGGCAGGCGAGCGTGCCTGCTTCTGTCTGCAATAGTCACCCTAGGCTTAAAACAGGAAAGGGGAAAACCTTGATTGAATACTAAGGTTTTGTGGGTCCTTGGTGGTTTCAGAGAATAGGAGCAGCTGGATAACTGCTGCTTGACATCATGAAGTTCATGTATCAGGCCGTTAATGTGACTCCCTGTTAAGGATGACTGCCCACAGCACATTAATGCCTGTGTGTTTCTCCTCCTTTTTTAGAATGTCACCCTACATTATATGTATTTACTTTTATTTGCCTGTGTTTCTTACATATAATTGCTACTAGCACTCAACTGGAAAACTTTGGCTTAGTCAAAATAGTTTACAAATAAATCTAAATGAATAAGTGGTTGTTTTTTGAACAGATGCTGGTGAGAAGCAAAATGGAGAAAATAATGATCTTGGTTCAGCAAAATCGTCAAGCTCCATCTCTAATAATTATTTAAATTTAACTTTACCAAGAAAACGAGTACCAAAGGTAAGCTGTGAAGGAAGACTTGCCCTATAAATCTGTCTTTATTGAAAAGATGAAAGTAAGCTGTCAGGCTCAGAAATAAGGGTTTTATACATACAGTACTATTAAAGACCTGTAAATTGAGATTTTTTTGAGAAAGATTTCACGGTATTCAAAACACACATGCACACTCAATCATTATGATGTTTGTAAGGATAACACTGAAGCCTTGTCAGTGTCAAATGGCTGAAGCATTAATAATGGTCCCAGTTAAGCATTCTCTGTAAATGCAAAATTTTGAATCTTAGAGTTTTGGATGTACTTGGGGAGAATTCGTGTCCATTGTTCACGCCAGTGTTCATTGTCGGTACAAGTGAGAGGAGGAGGATGTTTTATTTGGTGTGGTTTTGAGTTGCTGTTTTCAACTTGAAATATTTGAGATCTCAGCTCCCTTATGTGTATTGATGTGTTTTATTTTTGAAAAGTTTTCAAAAGTTGTTTTTAAGAGGTTTTGTGCGATGGCGGATACAAAGTTGTTGGTTGGGTGGTTTTGTGTGAGTTTTTTGTTTGTTTGGGGGTTTTGGGTTTGTTGGGGTTTTTTTAAGAAGTCTGGAATTTTCCTAGGCTGTTTCTACCTTTAAGAAAAATAGTATTGTAGCTCTGTATTCCTAAATATACAGCCGTTCTATTATATATCAGCTCAAATACTCATTGGTATACTACAGTGCTTATTGATTGGGAGGGAGTGCGGTTTTTTAACAAAAACAGGGATTTGAACAGTCTGTGGATGCTGTTTCAAGGTTCTCAAGGGAAGCTTTGAACTCTTTGAGAAGTCACCTGCAACAGTGGGCAGGTTGACTAGTGTGGCTCTGAGATAATGATCTTAGTCATACCTGTGTACTTTTCTCTCTTGGTCACTTATTAATGAAAATTTATTGGCATGCCCTGTTATATCCCTGTATTATAAGAAACATTCATGCCCATACATGCTATGATTAAAGACTCCAGAGCCTTGAAGGATAATGGAGACCTGAGTTAATACTCTCTGTCATGGGACTGTGTGCAGTGAGAGAATTGTCTGTGTCTTTGAATGGATTATAGCTTCAGAAGTCTAATATGGTTTAATTTTAGGGGAGTCCTAATAAAATTAGTTAGTAAAAAACAGTTTCACCTTCTGCCTCTTCATTAGCTCAGTTGTCTTCTTAAAGGAGATCTTGAGGAAGGGTTTTGCTTTCAAACCAAGCCTATCTTCATTTTAACTTCAGCTTAAGTGGGAGTGTCTGTACAACCCAGCTCAGAGGCAGCAGTGCCTCAAGTCCAGCTGGCCTGGAGAAGCAGCACGAGGTAGACAACATCACAGACTCCTGCACCAAACGTTACCTTCTGCATTTTTCTGAAACATAGCTAATTGAAAACTCCTGGGCTAGCTAAAAACCTCATATTGACTACAAAGATTCTCAAGTTCTTTTTTTGGTTGTTTTTGTTTGTGGATTTTTTGTTTTGGGGTTTTTGTTTTGTTTTGGTGGGGTTTTTTTGTTTTGGTTGGCTTTTTTAAGCAATCTCCTTAATGCTTAACTGTATTGCTTCATTTACACCTATTGATAGACTCTTTAAGTTTTGCCTGGGAAAGTATGCATTTCCTACTTCTCTTGGAATTCAGTGTCTAGCAAAAGTTCAGGTGTACATGTATGTACTGCATTCCTCAGTATTTAAATATATTGCTTTTTAAATTTGTTGGTCTCACCTTGTAGAAATGTGACTTCCATTTTTTTCACCTGAAAAATTACTTCAGAATTTCCAGATATTTCCTAGACTGACTTTTGTCTTGAATATTTTCCCTCCATGAACAGATTTTCAAAACCTGTGGACACTCAATTTCCCAGTAGCATGGTACATCCCTGTTGGGAAATAATTTTTCCCTGTCACCCACATACACACAAAACCATGTGACATGTTTCCCAGATAACCAAGCAGTGAGAAGTCAGACAGAATAAACTTTGCTTTTTCTTGTGGGTAACTTGTTTAGAAGAAAAACCTTTTTCATGACCACAATGTTGTTGTTTTTCCACGACTTATTAGCAGAAGTAAATAGACTTTCAGCAGTGGGGAGAGCTTTCCATTACTAATCCATGCAGCCTCTTACTAGCCTCCCATCATGAAATAAGCCTTCTGTCATAGCAGAGTTGCAGCTCTTGCCTGTACATGAAAGCATGACGTGACTTGCTTGATGGGCCCCTCTGGTTTCCCACTACGGGGGCTCGTTCACAATGAGAAGTGGAAGTGGTGTTTCCCAAATCAACTTGGGAAGCAAGGCTGTCAAGTCATCTTGTACGAGGTTTCTGTTGAGGATGGGGTGTGAAACTAAGCAAGATGGGTTAGGGTGCTTGGGTTAGGACAGAGACTTAAGTGCCAGAACCATCTGAAACTACCTGGGAAATAAAGCTCCTTGGAAAGCAACTTCTTGAGTTAAGGGTTTACTGTTGCTTCAGTTTTATGGTTCTTTCCCCTGCAAAAGGTGGTTCTGAACATTATCCATTATATATATAATAAGTGTTCTTTCCAGGCTGTAGGAGAGCACAGAGTGTTGCTCACTAAACTTTCCATAGCATCAAGTTTGTCCTTTTATTTGGCTGGAGGAGGGTTTCTTATCTGAGTGCAGGCTGTGGGAGACCAGGAAGCGCAGCCTGGAGCTGGTGTAGCTGTTCTGGCAGCCTGTGCTGAGCTGGATCATGTTTTCCATTCTGCTCCGAGTGTCAACCGGGCTGGAGAGGAACTGAGATTTCCTGTGCTCCAGACTAATAAACGAATGGAGGTGTTTACACAATACAGGGCACAGTCCTTTTGGAGTCTTGCTCGGCACTTACATTGCTTTGTCTTTCACTCCTTTGTAAATATGTTAATGTGAGTCCTTTATGTAAGACTTTTGAAAGGCAACATCTTGTTTGCTCCATTCACTCAGGCAAATTCTGCTTTTATGTGGTACAGGCTATTATGCAGAATACATTATGCTGTTCTGTTGTTCACCCTTTTGTGGTAGACTGATGACTATAGGTAGTGTGAAGCAGGGTTGCTGAGAGTTGGTGCCTGAAAGACAGTGTACCAAAGCACACAGAGCAGCAAAATATTGTCATCTGATTCTTTTGGTGTTTGCCCAGAAGTTGTTTGGGATTACTTTTAGTCACTGCATAGTGATTTATTACAAACAGTGTATATGTAAAAAGGAAGCTTGTGTTTTTTGATCTTGCTCTCTTTTATTCCTTTTCAGGTTTTTTTTTTAGTTGATTGAGTAATTACTAAGGAACAGTGTGGGCAAATGCAAATAAGTGGAACGTATTTTATTGTTCCTAAAGTATAACTTTTTGTACCAAATCTTCAAGGCTCAATTTAATAAGAAACGATACAAATTTCTGAGCACTGACTATTTTTCAAGTTCAGGCAGACTGAGTATGAAGTATTATTGATTTGTGTGATCTCTAATTGAGTGAAATAATTAAATATGTGCGATGCTCAAGCACAGAATAGTCAGTTTGGTTGCTTAAGTACTGCAATGTTCAGCCATAGTCACGGAGGTGAACCTTAGGAGGGAGACAGAGCTTTAAGGCAGACAGCAGTTGCTCCAAGAAGGAAATAAGACTGTGCTATGAATACATGATCTGCATGCAGATAGTTGGGTTAAGAGAGAAGTGGGGGCTATTCTGAAAAAGTGAGGCGTTCCTGGATTTTGTTACTTACCTGGAAACCAGTGTAATCTAGAGAAGAATTCTCAGAATAACTGATACTCTAGTACCTTTTTCTTCAAGGATGTGTAAGTGCTTTTTGAATTATAAACTCTTCAGTACTGAAAAGAGGAAAAGGTAAACAGCAAAGTTGTGGGGCCTGTGTTCAACAAAGTGTTCAGGCATGTATTTTCCCTCACTGGAGTCCAGTGAGAGCTCCCAGTCAGGGGTTTTGGGACAGCTTTTAGATACCTGATACATGCCTTGAGGGCCCACCAAGCTGCTGGGTAAGGAGCAGTCCTGCTGAGCTGGAGGGTCTAAGGAAACCCCCAGTGCTGGCACTGCTCACCTCTGTGTGCCTGGTTTAACAGGGGGCAGGCCTCACCTGCCTGGTTATGAAAATTGTTATCCTGGGAGGAACTGCTGAGCTAAACTTGGTAACTCCTGCAGTAATCCATGGAACTTGTTTTGGCTTTACCCTTTCAGGTTGAAGGGAAAACAGAAGAAAACGAGACTAACAAAAGACGTCGGAAAGGTCTTCTTGGTGTCTTCGAGGAGGTTGGTGTTCAGTGGTTTCCATTCATATCCCAGCTCCTTGATAAGCAGCAGGAGTTGGGGGGCCAGGTCTTTTTGAGTTTGGCAGGAACAAAAAGCCTCTCCCCTAAAACATTGAATTTACTGCGGAATGCACTAAATCATTTGATAGGGAGGAGAGCATTAACTAAATTGCAGTAGTTTTCATTCTGACACAAGGACATATGAGGTATTGGGATTTTTTCCTTTTCCTAACTCAGTTATTTAGACCAATTTTTGTTTGAGGAGTTTGCATTGCAGCTTGGTTTCTAGCCCCTCTCTGATTAGTTACCTTTCTGACTCTGTTTTATCAATAGCAGCTCTGATTAATGCTCCCTTTTACCATATTCTGGGACCAAAGAAAATATTTTTTGGTGACTTTTGCATACTAAACAGTGTCACTTTTAGTATCCTGTAGACTGTATTTGCTTTCACTCTCTGCTGATAGGGATATTATCTCTTTCTCTCTCTTCATGAGTGTTGTAAGAAACCCAAGAAAAACATAGTTCTTTGTTTTCTTGCAGACTTCGAGCTTTTCAAGCCAAGGGACAAATACTGGGAAAGCACAGAGTGATGGCAGAGAAGGAATGAACCAGAACAAAGTTAAATCAATGGCAACTCAGCTGTTGGCAAAGTTTGAAGAGAATACTTCAAATACCATTTTGCGGAGACAGGTAGGTCATAGATGAACGTAAAAGTAATCTCTAAAATTAAACCGTAGTCCCTCCTTGTGAAGGTGATGCAGATTTCCAAGGGAAAAAAAATGGACCTGTTATGTGTTTGAAGTGGGTTGCCCTTTTTAATACTTTATGCAAATGAAAATATTTCTTTCAATCCTTGGAGAACAAGTATGACTAATATATATTGACTAATGCATATTAATATAATGTGTGCAGTGAAATTGCAGTGTCCAGAAATCTCATCTAAGTCAGCCTGTAGAACTTTTGTGTTGTTTGGAAGTCTAAGCTAGCTGCAAATGGTATTACAGGAGGCCTTTTTTTTTTCCTGTATCCTGTGAACAAAGGACACTACATATCCAGTGGTTTCTGTCTTTGTGGGAAATTTAGGAAGTGTAAGAAGAGAACCTAATCTTTTGCAAGATGTCTGGCTGCTGTTTCCGTTCCTAAAGTAGGCAAAATGAAATGTATTTGTGCATTCCACAGCATTTTCATTGTTTGTTTTTAGTGTGACTAGTGGTGTTTTAAAAATAATCCTGTGCTACCAAGGTAGGGGTGAGAATCTCAAAACCACACTTGAGCCAGAAATGGTCTGAATCAACTCCTTTGGATCTGTCACCTGAAAGATCTGAAGGAAGGGCGAGCAAGTTGTTGAGATTCTGACAGGGATGGTCTGTTTCTTAATTCTTTGTGCTTGGATCCATTTGCTTATTTAAATATTTAAGTCCTCCAGTAGTGTAAGCTCTAGAGATGTCCAGTGACTTTCTCAATCTGTGAACCACTGTTGTTTGCACTGTACCTGATTACCTGAGTTTTCTGTGTATATGGCCAGAGATTTGCTTGGCCATGTTGAAGGAAACCTCGATGTGTTGCTTTTAATAATGAACTGTCCTAAAGAACACTGAATGTGCTCAATTTGAAGTATATCTTTGATGGTAGAAGGGACTAATAAAATGGGTGGGTGACAAAAATCTGCAAAATGTGTTGGTAAGGTCCACAGTAATGTGTCTTTTAAAGCAACTTTTATTTCTTTCTGCCTCAAAAGGTCTTTGAATCCTATTTACTCTCTTCCTTTTTTTTCCTCTTCACTCTGTCTTTACAACTTTAAAAATGCTTTACAAGGAGGTAATAGATAGACCAGCCCTACTTGCTTCTGACCCTCCTGCTAATCCTCGCTTTGCTAAACCTGTGGATCCAAGTCTTCTTCCACCTCAACCAAAAAGGCAGGTAGGAACTCATATGGGTAACACCTGACAAACACCATTTGTCTTAATGCTGGGAACTCAGTGTTATTGTGTAACTACAAGATATACAAAACAATATTTGTCTGTAATCTGCATAGTTAACAGATATATTTAGCTGACAACTGTGAAAACCACATTAAAAGTTTGAGGCTATTTTACACCTGCTTGACCAGATGAGAAAACTATTTGAAAGTGTGGAAACCACCCTAAAAACAAAAGTGTTGATTTCTGTGTTACCACATCTAGACTTCAAATTGTATAAATATAATTACATAGCTAACTTAACATGAGAAAACTACAGGAGTATCTGAAAAATTGTCTGTGCATGTACTCAATGCTTTGGGCTGTTGTAATGATAAGGCAAAGTGAGTGTTCTAGCCTGAGGAACCTGGCAAAAATGTCTAAGATGAAAGCTTTAGCCTTAAAAAGCTGATATTGATTGGCTAGGTTTTTTATTTCTTTAAGTGGAGTTTGTGATAAGAATTTCTGCTGGAAGGTCTTCTGCAGCATCATATACATGGGGCAAATTTTTGAAGACCTAGTCTAAATTTTTCTTTTAGTAGTTTCAGTGAAAATAATCCCATCTCAAACACAATTGCTCACTTTACATTAGAGTTTTAAATTGAAGTAAATATCCTGTAGGGGCCTTTCAAGAGTGGTTTGCAGTGAAATGAGATCTGTATTGCATGTTGAAATCTGCAGATCAGGAGCTATTTTATATGAAAATTAAAATTCAGAGACCTGTCCTGAACTCCTCAGAAAATGCCTTAAATCTGAAATACATTATAGCTTGACTTGAGTCAGACTAGATCTAGAACTATGGCAAGAGCTAGTGCTGATATTCTTATAATTTGATTTTAAGCTTAGTCTCAGGCAGATGTGATGCTACAAAAACCAACCCAATATCTTTGCTATAAACCCTAGAAGGAGATGTAGTTTCGTGTTCTTCTGCACTGGTGCTGTCTGGGGCTATTCAAAAAAACTGACACAAACCTAGAGAAGGATATGGAGGCCTACATAAGATATGCACGACTGATTTATTTCAGTGCATGTGCACAAGCATCAGAGCCGCAGTAGACAGTGTGCAAAGAGTGATGTGAGACCACTTTATTTCGAGTTCTGTGCATGACTGTGCTGCGCTTTCGGAAGCATCCTAAAAAGCTGCATATACTGCATGGTGGTGCAGAAAGCAGATTTTTTTTCACTTCAAGTGTTTCCCAGTTTCAGGTGGTAGCTAGGAGTGAACACGAGGTCAGGGAACCCAAACAGTCTTTAAATGGTTCTGATCATATGGCCAGGAGAGCAAAGACTGTACAAAACACAGATTCCCAGCCCAGTCTGTCAGAAACCTCTGAAAATCTCGCATCTGCCTGTTCTGCTGCATTTGTACTTTCTGGAGTGCTTGAGCGTCTTCAGCACCTGGAGGAAAAAATGAAACAGGTGACAAGCAACTTCTTTTCCTTTCTGTCTCTTAACTGCATTTGATAATCTGTATACTCTGTTTTTGCTGGCTCTGCTGGCTTTTCCTCTATTGACTTTAGCTTATATTAAGGCAATAAGAAGTCTTTCTACAAACTTGCTATGTTCTGTTGATATATGTGGCATTAACTGAAATCTCTCTTTCTTTTCTTGGCTTTCCTTCCCTGGCTGTCACTGCAGAAAAGAGCTCAGACTATAGCAAATAGGGAATTCCATAAAAAGAATATTAAAGAGAAAGCAGCACATCTTGCCTCAATGTTTGGATACATGGAGTTTCCAAAGGTGAATATTAAGTTTTGCACCTGAAGAAGTGCTGAGCTAGAAGACTTGTAAGAATTCATGGATGGAAAAAGTTGCAGTGGTTTTGGTTTTAACTTTCCTTCCATTTTGTGTGGATCTGAAAAGTAATGTGGATTCCACTGAAACTGGTAAAAAGCATTGTTTAATAAATTATTGCATAATTTATTTGAGGAAAAATACAATCTAAATTATAAAGCAAGTCAGAGTACTTTAGCAGGAGAGAAATGTGTTGAAATAACCTATGTCTTTATGCTTGAGCACACACTGGTAGCTCAATTTCTAATCAATTGGTTAGCAGTAGTGCTCATTTAGTGCATTCTAACTTTTCCTGTGTTTCCTTATGCTTTCTCCCAGCTCTACCTTACCTTACCTCCCACTGTGAATGCTTTGATAAAAAAATTGAGTACAATAATATTGTTTACCATGAAGGTGCCATGATGATTTCCATGGGTCCTCACTGTGCAGAAATAGAACAGAACTACAGTTATCTTTATAGTTTTTTTTGATGCATGACTGTGAACTTAACCTTTGCTAATGTCACTGTCTCTTGGATAACTCTCCTGTTTCTGCTTTACACAGAATAAGCTACCTACTAAAGGCTTACCCCATTCTCAGCCCCCAACTCCCTCTTGCCCTCCACCTCATCATTCAGCTGCTGCTGCTTCATCATCTGTCAGTTCAGCTTCCTCTGCTGTTCCTTCTCAACAGGTACTCTATTAACAGATTTTTCCTCTAAAATCCAAATTTGTGCTAAAGCTGCTTGGATGGAAGGTGCTGCCAGCAAATCTGTTCTCTAGGTTGTAATTCACATTTAAGTCAGACTTTACTTCATTTACTGTTGTTAATTCTGCATGCTTATAAGAGAAATGTCATCATCAGTAATAGTTCAGGTAAAAGCTGAAGAACAAAGCAAATAGTTAACATTTTTTGCTTCAATTCTGAAAATTTTGCATTGCTGCTTATTTTAAATGATCTCTTGTTGGGTAATACCACAGACCATTGCATGGTAAAGCAAACTGGATGCTGTGGGGTTGGTTAGTTGTTCTTGGGTGGTATTTGTGTTTCTTTTCATAAGAATATCTGTCTGGTGTGTAGTGGAGAACCTGCACGGTTAATGGTTATTTTAACTAGAGGCCATGTCTTAGGATTGTATGAGCACTTACCAATACAAGCATTTTATTGTTATTTGTTTAATTATTTGTACTTTAAACTTGCTTCTGCATGTTATTGTTAAAATACAGTTCTTTGAAACAGCAGAGGAAACATGCATACTGTGGGTGGAAAGATCCTCAATTCTTTCTACTTATGCTTGATGTGAATGGGCTGTGGACGTCAAGATAACGTTGGCTTCTAAAAACCTTTGTTTTAGAAGGATTTTAATTGAATGAACTTTGATCTTTTTCAGCTTTTCAGGGCAGATAAAGGCCCAGGTTCCCTTTCCTTCAGCCACTTACTATGTAGCAGCAGCCTGGGTGCATTGTAGCATTGAGTAGGGTTGGTGTGGAAATAAAGGTGGAAACATCAAGTTTCTGGAAGTCCTGAAGGTGACTGCTGTGACCAGTGCAGGTGCTGCTGGAGCTGTGGCTCTGGTGCCTGGCACATGACCCAAGTGCTCTGGCAAAATCGGGTGCCATCTCCATTTGGTGTGAGGAGGAGCAAAAGTGACTCCTCTGCCAGCTTTTGTTGCATTTAAGTAATTTTATGAAATAAGTATTCATAAGTATCATGAATATTGCCCAACTTGAGGTAAGCCACAACTGAAGGGATTTTCCCATCTGGTGGGTGTCCAACAGGATCATTTAGTGGAATTGCTCTAGATCTTTTTAGGTTATTTTTACACCTTGTTTGTTAATGCTGTTTGTAAATCAGGCTCACAGCCTCAGCAGTAACTGAGCAGGTAGATACTGAGCTGACTTTCAGTTTGCAAAGGGCACATTCCTCAGCTGAGATAGAGCTGTGTTGAAATGACTGCCTGGCTCTCATTCCCCATGGAAATACAGGCCAGACAGCCCTTCGAGGACACTGCAAGCTCAGCAGGTGCCTTACTGCAATAATCCCTAATTCCCTTCAGCTTCAAAATAATTCCTTTGCCTGGATTTACCTCTTACTTTTTATGACCTAAGTGGTATAGCGCGTGATGGGTTTTAACCTAAGTAATGGTTTCCAAAATATTGAGGTCTGATGCTTGTTTGATTTGGAGAGCTATTGCGCCTCTACAGAGACAAAAAAAAACAAATAATGCCCCCCAAACAACAAATAAACAAAGTAAAACCAACCAACCAAAAATACAAACAAACAAACCAAGCCCAAGCTATCTGGAAAACCTGAAAAAAATGAGAGCTAGGCTCTTAATCACATGGAAACTCTGTGACAATAACTGGGATTTTAACATATTTTCTTGGAGAACATTTGACTGGAGCAATCCTTTCTGGATGTTTTAAAAACTGCATTTTATTTGAAGTGCACTCACAGCCTTTTATGAGTTTGCCACTGTATTTAAATGGTGTAGCAAGAGTTTGTTGTGACTTGATTTTGCTCAGGCTGAGTTTACTTCAATTGAAAAATGCTCTCTTTAGAGGTACTGGCAGAATGCAGCACAGCTGAAGCAAGAAAATCTAGTTTTGTCACCAGCACAGTAAATGTGTGTGCATCTCACTGGTAAATATTTGGCTGGTTAAGTTTGATTACTTTTATTCTTTGGCAGATCTACATGCATGAACATCTTGATGCCTGCACATACAGCTCCATTGGTTGTACAGGCTCATGTCCTCATCTACACTGTGTGCATCTCATATGTGTAAATATGGTGTATTTTATGTGGCATATTGGAGAATTTTAAAATAGCAGGTCTGATAACGATCAGCTAAACTTTTACTCCTCCTGTTTGAGGCAGATGTGGTAAAAGGAAGCTGATACAAATGAACCCCAAGTCAGGATGGATTACCCCCCCGGTAAACCCCTGTGACTTTTCTTACCAGGTACCAGTGAGTACAAGTGATATCGTTGGTGCTGTCCTTGCCACAGGGGTAACTAAGAGGTTGCAGGGAAGGAGAGTTTGCCTGCCCTCTGTGCCCACCTTCAGCACAGTAAAGGATGATAAACAGTCACCGTGGAAAGAGGGATGTAGGTCAGGCTTGGGCATGGGGATAGGGTACCCTTGAATAGGGAGGAGCAGGATGTTGGGGAAGACCTGCAGTCTGCAGCAGGACAAGTTCTGACTTCATAACAAGCCATCTCTCCATGTCCTTCCATGGTCACATTGTTTTGTATGTGTTTTATCTGTAAAGATTGCTCACTTTTCAGAACTTTCAGATTTATGAAAATTTTATCATACTCTAAAATATAGACACCGACTAAATGCGAGGTGCTATAAAAATAAAACTGAGAAATATTTCTGATGCACAGCATGCATTTTCAAGTGCTCTTAACAATATGTTTGGACCACTCTGCTGTGAATATGTACCAGTAACTACCTGTGTTTGTGTTATCCTGGAGAGGAGGTTATAGGACTCAGAATTTGTATTTCTGGTCTCTGTTCTGAGAGCTATCAATAGGTAAGTCTAGACTTCAGTGTGAGAAAATGCTTTGGCACTGATAAGTCAACGGAAGAACTTGCTTGTGTCGCTCTCACTGTTTCTGCTTCTTCCCAGTAGAAAAGCAAAAGATAATAGAAGTCTTGAGTTTTATAAGACTTCATGATATATGACCTATAAATATTAGCACCCTCCCATCATTTAAATAGTTAGTACCATCATTTTAATTTCAAGGGAGTACTGAGGTTGTTACCAGTCATTGCATCTGCTGAATTTTCATTGGAACACTATTAGTTATGGTGGCATAGTTATTGAAGATAGTGGCTACAAAATCGTACTGTCTCATTATAGAAACCTATTATTAAGTCTAAGGCCTGAAAGGAACACTCGAAAAGGGGGCTATGGGACCATATTGCTTCTTTGAAGACATACAGTCATTACAACTTATTAAGAGTTAACTTCTGTATGGACGATGCCAGTAAAAATCAAAACTACCTTCTAACTTTAATCAGCTGTCAAAATTCACATAGCTAGAATTATGAATTAGCATATGTTACATTACAGGCTGGGCTTTGATCGTTCCTGTTCTCTGTTTACATTTGGATTGACCTTCAGAAAACTGTCCATCTGAGCTTTGCATGATTGAATTCACACAGTATGATGTAGGATCTATGAAGTTTTGTTGAAATCAATAGGCTTTGCTCCCTGTAGAGTTTGTACAAACTACTTCCTTTCAATGATGTGACTCTAATTACAAGCAGTATGCAGGGTTTGGGTGTTTCCTACACACAGTAACTTATTACTCAAATGTTGTTTATCTCAGAAGGAAAATGTACATAGCAGGTTGTACAAAAAGTAAATAAATCACCCTCATAGCAAAATAAGACCCGGAAAATCATTAAGGATATGAAAGAACAAAGGGAAAGCATTGCATTCTTTTGGAGGCAGAGAGCATATTTCCTTTGTTTTATGAAAACACTCCTGAGGCTTACTCCTTGGTTGGCTGTGGTGTTCTAAATAATAGCACAAAGAAATACAGAAGGCAGCTTTCTCTTTCCATGTTAATAACCACCCTGATCAACCTGCTGAAAAGCTTTGGCGATGTGTCATTGACAGGTCAAAAGTTTTAGTAAATCACAAACATTTGGGATTTTTAAGTGTTCTCTGGTTGTGTACTGAAATTCACCACATGAACTAACTCTTTAAGATTACTTTTCAACAAAGGATTTAAAGCTGCTGGTATAAACCTGCCTGGATTGTGAGCAGTAACCTGTTTCCTACAGATAGTGGCCCCAGCATTACAAAATGTGTGTGTGTGTGACTTCACATATACCAGTAGCTTCAGGGGGAGTAAGGGCATGAGCAAAATATAAACCCCATTATGTGAATACTGTTTCTAGGGTACCTGAGCAGCATATCAGGCAGGCCTGTGTGCTGACCAAAGCTAAGCCATGTGAGAGCTGACAGCTTCTCTAAAGGAATGTGTGTAGAGTCAGACCCTCTCCTGCAGCTGGGGTTTATTACACTCACACAATTAAATGGGATGAGGATGTTATTGAAGTCCTTGTCCATAAGCAGAGTGAGGTTCAGAGAACACACAGAAGGGGTTATTGGTGGTTTGGTGGTTGTGCTGTTGTTGTACAAGGGCAAGAGACATGAGCCTTGCAGGGCAGCACTGCTCTTGCACGTCCTGTCCCTCCCATTCTCATGTTTCTGATGGTGGCAGATGCCCATGGGGCTGCCCTGGTGCATTCTCATTCTGCCCTGATATGTCTGTTTTGTGACTGAGTGACATTTGAATAGAACAGAGTAGTTCAGTTGGAAGGGACATACAACATCTCTTGCCTGACCAGTTCAGAGCTGACCAAAAGTTAAAGCATGGTTTTAAAGGCATTGTCACTGAATTTAATTGAAATCCCATTTGCTTTTACTTGGAATGTGAATTCACATTCATTACAAGGACATTTCCTTTTAATAACATTTTTCAAGTGCGTATAAACATGCAATTTTCTTGTTTTGACTACTTTAATGTTGACATAGATTTTTTCAATGGGCGGAGAACAGGAATCAGCCAACCTGATGAATTTCAAGGTGTAGTTCAGACTCAAGGATACCTTTCTTGAAATTCAACTACTTGCACTTTAGGCACAGCCTTGTTATTTAACTGATTGGTCCAGCATTTAACTAGTTCAAGGTAAACTTTCTGCTTGGACTGACTTTGAACTCTTTCTTTTACCTTGGACCTTGTAGGTAAGAAGTTGTACATGGCCTAGAAGTTGCTCAGCATATTCAGAGGTGTGCAGAATTTGGGGAGGAAAATTTTTTCTTCCATGATCTTAAACAATACAAAGGAATATAGTTTTCCTGTAGTAGCAGGTAGCATTTCCCTTATTGGTTTATAATCTGATGTACCTCTTAGGACAGCATAGCAGTTTACTTTGCTGTTGTTACCCACAAGTTGTTCAGATACTCAATAATATTTAAAAGTCTTTTTATATTATACAAAACCAAAAAGTACAGAATTTTGTCCCTTAAGTGGCCATTGTCAACTTAACATACATACTTTTATCTGCCTGGATATGAAGTTAATTATGAGAGCACTCTCAAAAGATAAGAGGAGCTGTAAGAGCTTAGAAATGTTCCCTTGAAATTTTTTTATTAGCAAGAATATTGTTTTCCATCTTAATTTCTGAAAATACACCCACAATACATTTTTAAACTTGATAGAAAATACTTTAAAATTGTTTTGAACTATTGCAAATACCATTGCATTTATATTTTTCTCCTTTCTTCATGGTAATTTCTGATATTTTAAAACCTAGGACTTAGTGTGGTGGTAGTAGACAAATCATTTCACTGAGAAGAGTGGAACTAACTTAAAATTTGGGCTCTGTGGGAGACAAATGGTGCATAAGAGATGAGATCATGGATTCTCAAGGGAGAAACAATGGTCTGACTTCAGAATCAGAGCACCAAATCCCTGGCCCTACCAGGATGGCCCTTGCTGCATTTGGTACAAGAGAGGCTGTGGGATCTTACATTGTTTATAAGGCTCAAATCCAAATCACTGCAGAAAATTCAGTTTAGGATAGAAAGTATTTCTGTAAATCTGTCTGAAGTCTGCACAGACTTTTTTTCCAGAAGCAGAGAACTAGAGTACCTACCTACCTGCTGCCATTCAGGCACACACATCTTTCTTCTTTTCCAGTCCCTGGGCATGTGTTTTGGCAGGGAAGCCTGGACCATGCAGTCAGTTGTCTGTCTACAATGCTTTTGGAGCCACAGCCTAAGAAAGTGCAATCTCCTTGCAGGCCTAATTGATAAAGGATTGATAAATGCAGGCCTAGCATTCATGTAATAGTGTGATGAAGAAGATTAAAGGAGATGTTTTCCTTTCATGAGCATAGTTTCTCTAGTTTTCCCTGGCATTGAGTCACTGGGGAAAGGGTGAATGGTTGCTCTGTGAGCACCAACAAAACATTTCTGAGTGGGAAATTGGCACATATGTTCTCATAGAATGTTCCCTAAAATGTCATGGTTTGTGTACTGTTAATGTGAAGTTTAATTCCGCCCCTATTGTGAAATATAAGAACAATGTCCCAAGAAGCTGAAGGGAACAATAGGGGGTTTTTTTTAATCTGTCAGAATGTCCAGCCCAGATATCCAGTCAGTAGCTTCCAGCTCAGCCTTCTGCGGACACAGCAGGAGGCAGCATTTGCTCCCATCAGCTATTTCTCCCTCATCTGGAGACTGGGAGAAGTCCATGGGCTGCACAGAAGCCTTCTGTGGCACCAGCTGGACCACATCGGTCATGCATGAACAAACTTGTGCTCTGCTAGACTTTCCCTCTGCTCTTTCTCCTGCCTCCCTTTATCGATGTTAGCATGTTTTCAAACCATTCTTGTCCTTTTTTCTTGAAGTTCTTTTTCAAAGATAACTAAAGCTCTTCCTTCTCTTCTTCATCTATCTCCCCTTTTCTGGTTAGATGACTGTAGGAAAGGTCTCACGTGCAATTGGAGCTGTGGCTGAAGTTCTTGTAAATCTGTATGTGAATGATCACAGACCCAAGCCACAGCTTGAACTGGTAAGACTAAACCCCCAAAGAAACAATAACTTAAGAGCAGTGTTTCCAGAATGTCATCCACTGGTTGTGGAGCACCTTAAGCTTTATGAAAGGTCTTAGGCTGGAAGGTGTAAAGACCTTCCCCGGATCTTCGCTCGCAAAGACTGGCCATTAGGAGTCTAACACTTACTAAGGAATCAAGTGCATGTTTGCAAAATATGCTGACGTGTGAATGTGCTGGAAATGTTGCTCACCGTGTCTCCTATTTATATTTTTAGTACTTGACTGTATGGTTTAAAACTTCAGGAGGCTTTTATTAAATGTAATTACTGTAGAATTAGTAACAGAAGGCAATTACTAATCAGGGTGACTTCTAAAGAAAGTTTTGGGCAGTACATGTTTATGCAGTTATTTTTAACACACAAATGCTGAATCACCATGCCTCATTTTGAAGAGGGTTGTTTTTCAATGCTGACACTATTCTATGTTGAATTCAGAGACGATCCCTGGACAGAGCTACAGGTTCTTGCCCCACTCCTCACTCTCCATCTGCTGCCTCCACTGCTCAGAGCTGTAAGGTATTGGGAAGCAAAGTAACGTGTTGTGGTGTGGTGATGACACTTACTTACCATTCAACACTAAACTCAATTGCTTCTGCTTCATTGTAACCATCTATTAATACCGTATTTTTTAAAACACATTTAAAAATGTATTTTTCCACTTGCATGGTTGCTTCTCTGGGAAGTGTCATGCTCTGAAATGATCCATCAGAGCAAAATGGTTTGCTAATGGCAGATTTTGGAGCAGGTTCCTCAACTTTTAAACACAAGACAGTGTGACAATGACAATTGTGACTTGCACTTCACATTAGAAGGTTGTTCCAAGACTGCTTTTTACTGGGAAATTAAAGATGTGTGGACTATGTACTGCTGCCTGAATGTGCTCAGACTGTGCCAAGCCTGTGCCTCCTCCGTCCCACGTGTGGTACCTCTCCTGTGGCATCAGGGATAGTGGAAGGGGAGGGAGATGGTGATGGAATGTGGTAAATGCAGCATGCTCATCTGCACCGACCTGTAACCAACCATAATACAATAATGCAAAGTAACATCCTCATACCTGTGTTTAATAAGACAAGGGAAGTCCTTAGTAGCATCTAATCCATTTATAATTTATTTCTTTTTCTGTACCTTTTGCATGTATATCCAAGAGAGGATGAGATTTGTGGCAATGGAAGAATGTTAATTGCCAGCCCAATTTCAACAAAAACTTTCAAAATAGTTTCCAGCCGTTAATATGGATCATGTTTAAAGTCCAGTGTGTTAAAAAATGTTCTGTGGTAGGCAACAAATCAACTTTTTTAAAAACTAACCAAGCCCGGACTGTAGTCTCAGGAAGAACATGGCTGAGAGAAGATGTCTGCAGAGATGTGAGTGGTAGTTCGGAAACCAGGGTCAAAGACTGTCAGCTTTTCTTCCTAGACCTTAAGGAACAAGACTACATTCTCCTCTGGAGTGTGTGTGAACTGAGTCTTCAGGGTGTCTGTTGTTTCAGGATGGCCAGGTCTGCCTTCACCTTCTTCTGAGAAGCCCACACTGAGCCAGGGTGGTGCAGGGTGACAAGTGAGCATCTGGGGATGATGCTGCTCTTGCACCTGAGTAATCACAAAATGTTGGTGAACTCCCAGAGGGAAACTGGATGCAAGTCCAAGACAAAAGTCAACCCTTAAAGTCCTTGTGATGCCTGATTTATTAGTTGATGCATAAACCTACAGAATTGCAGCAAATGAGTAATAAAAAAAAGCTGACTGATTCTTGTTGTAATTGTGTGTGGAGGGTGCTGTGTAACACTTCAAGCAGCTAACTCAGCTGCCCCCTTAATAAGAATTTATATCTGGGTGTAGTGCCATGGCTTTATGTGCATTTCTGTTTTTATCTTTTGACAGAGTTCTCTGCGAAAAGAATTTCCTCAGTCTATTGGGGGGAGTGACATTTGTTATTTCTGCAAAAAACGGGTCTATGTTATGGAGCGGCTGAGTGCAGAAGGCCACTTCTTTCACAGGGAGTGCTTCAAGTGTGAAATATGTTCTACAACACTCCGTTTAGGAATTTATGCCTTTGATGTTGAAGAAGGTAATGTAGGAGCTATTTAAGAATATTTTGAAATGTCTGAGTATTGATGTTTTTAATGGAACTGGGGAAAAAGATCTGGCGCAGTAGGTCGGTCAGGAGGAGGTCTGCCAAGTGTGTTGTTTGTATCCATACTGATCTTTGAGTTTGAGTCCTTGTACTTGCAGTCCTAGTCTTTCAAAAGAATTGAGTTATGACAGACTTGAGCTCTAAATGAAGAAGTCCTCAGTGGAAAATGAGTTGAGTGACCAAAATGCACTTTGTCCAATAACAGGTCAGAGTGGGGGGGGAAAGGGTGATTTTTCTCCCACAATACAGGGTTATTCTTATCTCTCATTTATAACTGGCCATTAAATAATGTGATCTATAAGGATAAGCTATAATAGTGGCAGATTTACATGGATGGAGAGAATATAGGTTATTTCTTTTAAGATGTTATGGCTCAGGACTTGAAAGCAGTAGGACTGGCCAAGCACAGTGTAATTTATTCCAGGCTGCTGTAGAACAAGAGGTTCAGTTCTTGGGCACTCGGTCCCACCTAGAGCCTGGGGTTCAGAGACAGTGAATTTTTGTTTTGATTTTCAGTTTAGAGAGGAATTACCAAACTGAATTGAAAATCACTTGCCACTTCCAAGTGATCTGAGTGGATCACAGTATTAACCTGATCTCCTTCTGTGAAAGGGTTAAAGACTCAAGGTCAAAGGTGGTTCTTTTTCTATCCAGAGTATCTGCAAAGACTTCTTTTGAGTTGACTATTTGACTTTTGGTTTTGCTCGATATCTTGTGTTGGTTTGTGACTGTATTTAAGAGATCTTGAATTTTTGTGATTTGTTAATCTTATACCTGAGTGGTAGATAAATGACCTTGTGTTATTGAACTAATATGCAAATTTGTGTTCAAGTTTCCCATTCCTTTTGCTGCCCAACCATTCACTATTTTTTTTATAGATACAACAGTGAGTTTTCAGTCTATATACATATAGAAAACGTCATATAGTTTATTTTTCCCTCTTGTAGGTAAATTTTACTGTAAACCTCATTTTACACACTGCAAAATGAGTACGAAACACAGAAAGAGAAGAGCAACATTACCAATCCAAGGAAAGGTAGGTATTGATTCTATTGGTCATGCAGGAAATGTTGAGGCAGTTTTATCTGGAGCAGGGTGCAATACTTGGCAGGGGGTGGGGGGAAGTTTTCTACCTAATGTGCAGAAGTAGTAAAATCGGAGCTAAAATACAAACCTCCTTGTTCTGTGAGTTTGGCGTATTTATAATCTGCTTCTTAATGGAATTTAGCTTTTCCTATGCAAAGCAAAGTTAAGAGCAATTGGAAATGGAAATATACATAAAGACTGGAAGACGTTAGAAGCTTGACTTAGAAGTTAAATATGCTTCTAAAGTATCTTTTTTTTTTTGATGCTTTATGTAAGGAGGCAGCAGAAGCATGGAAGAAAATGGAACCCAGACCCGCAGAGACCACCACAGAAAGCACTTTGTCTGCTGCTAGCAGTCCAGAGGACAGGTCCCCAGGTATCCTGACTTCCTTCTTTAGGGGCACGCTAAGCTGGCCCCTGCGGGTGACAAGGGATCTGCTTGACATTCCCAGACGCCTGTCTAACTGGATGCATGGTTTTCTGCACGCTACCAATCTTCATTTCAGGGACAATGCATATAACTATACCTACTTGTATGAACTCTTGAGCCTTGGTGTGCCACTCCTCTGTGCTCTTCTAGAGGTACTTACTCACATGTACCGGGAAGCAGAGCTATCACTTGAAAATGTGCTTGAATGGGTGAAAAGATTCTATAGGGTTTGAATTCTTCTACGTGTCTTGCTCAGTTGTGCCTTTCAGATTTTCAAAATTAACAGCCTGACTGTTTTCTTGAGGGGGGATTTTGGTTTTGGAGTTTTGTTTTTTTGCTTTTCGTGCAATTTAATGCATGACTTCAATGAATGGTGGATTCCTTCTGACATAAACGAGGTACACAATCAAAATTTTCAACATAAAATGTACTGTATGTGAGAGCATGAAGGACAGTGTCCAGACACATTTCCGGAAAATGGAGACAGATGAAGGATATTTTGTAGATTATTTTTCCCTCTGTTTGATTCTGTGATCAGACCATTGGGGAAGATGGTACATTTTGAAACCATTTTTCTCCCTGCCTACCAACCCCTCCACTTCTTTTTTTTTTTTTTTTTTTTTTTTTTTTTAGTTAGACCAAGAAAGAACATGTGTTTCAGATGTGTGGGGAATATATCTGACAAATGACTGGGTTTTGAAACCTGAATATAGAGCGTAGCTTTTTTTTTTCTCGCTTTCGTCTTTGCTCTGGGTTATGAGGTTTATAATTTGCATGAATGTTTTGAAAAAAATCACGTACGTAATTCATATTGCTCCTAGTCATGCCTTTTACGTTGCTTACGTGTGATAGATACCCTCTGTTGATAAGTGGGTATTATCTGTTCTACTAATTTATTTAAATTTTTAAATAAATTTGAAGAGCAAATGCTAGGTGAGTGAAGGCTTGATTGAAATTTTTAAGTTGAAGGAACTGGTAATGTAATTAGACCTGACTTATTCCTCAGGTTGAGGCTTCCTCATTAGGTGGCCAATAAGAGGAATATGAATTTATGGAGCACTCATCTGTAGCTGAAATCTCTACTGTTGTGCCTCTGGGTAGGCATTGCTCCCAGTGTCTGTTGGAATTTCTTCAAAACACAAGTTTAAAACAAACAAAAGCCTATAAATGTATTCTAAGATTACTTCTTAGCTGGGTATTTAATTCATTTCAATGTGTACAACCAATGGCAGCCACTAAATAAATTTCTTTCAGATGTCTCTCAATGAGGTATACCTAAAACAGCAGGTGTCTGGACAGGTTAAATAATCTATTTACAGCAAGGACATGCTGCCAATTCTGATTATTTTCAGCCTAGTTAGCCAGTGAGGTAAGCATATTCCTTGCCTCTCAAATACTTACATGTTTAAATTCAGGCATTGACCAAGAAATAGGTAAATACATAAACATGGCAATATGTGTAGCCTAAAATTAAAAACATCTGTAGTATTTATTTGTAGCCAAAAGAATGTGGCATAAACAATAGGAAATACTGTCCTATTCAGTTAGTACTGAAGTTGAGGATGACTTTCCAGTGGTCTCAAATGACCGTGTTTCTCATGGGCTGGCAGTTGTGATTTTATTTTTTTTTAATATAATGAGTGGGCAAAGATGATTTTGATTGTTTTGCCTCTTAGATATTAAGAGGAAATGTATCTTTTGTTTAAAAATAAATTACAAACTGGATTTTTTTTCTAGATAGTTTGACTTTCTTTAAACTATGAGGGTAAAGACTTTCACATTTTAGAGTGGTTATGTATTATTGGAAAAAAATTGTTAAGTATATGCAGAGAACTTGAAAAAGTGCTTGAAGAAAATTGTTTAGATATATGGTAGCATTCCTTTGAAATAAATTGCCATTAATGCTCAAACATATTCAGCCAAACTTTGCTAGAACATTGACTGGACACAGCAATAATTATAGTAACATGGTGAGCATCTGTATATACGTAAAGAAATCTATCTGTACCTTTTTTTTATTGCATTTTAAAAACCCCTAATTTGAAACACTGTATTATTTTTAATTGTTTGCTGATGGTAGTAATGGTTTCACCCTAAAAAGGAGAAAATCTGCAGTGCGATTTGTCATGTTACTCCTGTGACACAGCAAACTGCTAAGTGGTTTTAAAATTTGGGTTGCCATCAGTTTTGATTTCAGTATGTCAACAGCAGAGTCTTTAGGAACACTTTTTCTTCTGCTGCTTACTACAGGAAGTTTTCTGCTTTTTCAGCAGAGTGAGCATAATGGTAAACTTACAGAAAATGGTGATGTACTAAGAAATTTGGAAATCTCTGTCCAATAAAGTTAAAGGAAATGAATCTTACTAGTAGAAAGTTTAAAAATCAGATTTTAAAAAAATAAATTAAAATAATGTATTGGTTTTGTATAAATTTATATAATGGGAAATAAAATCCCTACACTTCCACAACAGAATTCAGGAACTTGCATAATGCAAATGTTTTCCTGAGGAATCTTAATTACACTGCATATTCCACTGGAATTTTGCAGGTGATTCTTCTGGAAAGGTTGTTTTATTGGTATCAGTCTATAATTGGTAGATTTTTTTTTCACTTCATCTTAATATTCTGCTAGTAATATTCATACTTATTTGTCCTCATTCATAATTTAAGGCAAGAAAGGCAGTTTCATTTTGGCCAATTCTTCTTTGCACCTATGTAATCTTCCTGATGCTTTCCTATTTAACCAAGTTAAGTTCTGTGTTTTCTTCCCTGCTCTCTTCTCCTGTCAATGTCCCTTATTGCTTTTAGTCCGATTCAACATTCCGGTGCTGCACCCGCTCACTGGCTGAAGCCTTTCTGCTCTCAGGTGATTTTTTTTTTTCTGCTTGCCAGTTCCAAAATTGTGTGACTAACACCGTCGTTTGACAGCATTTTGTGGTTTTTTAAAACTTTTGGAGCAAACTGTGTGTGTCTGGTATATTAATGGAGCTTTGGCATGATCATTTAACCTGTTGCTGAATTGATGGTTTTAGAAAAGGTAATGCCTGCGCTCTTTGTAGGGAATGTTTTTCTCTTGGTGTCTGTGCATGTTTGCTTCCCTATGCCTTTCAGGTAAGTTAGACAAGTAAATAGCTCCTTGAAGGAACTAGCTGAAGCCTTATTTTTTTTCAAAGAATTGAAGGAAAGATTAAAAATAAGGTCAGGAAGGCATTACCCAGCTGATTCTCCTGGTTGGCATGAGCTCAGATGTGCAATGAGCAAGCAGCATCTGAGCAGTGTGGTGCTCTCTGAGCACTTCTCTGCTTTCATACTGGAAGAGTATGGTATAAAAAGATTCTGTATAAAAAAGAGCCAAAGCAATGCAAATTCCAGTCTTCCACCCCAAGCGACATTTCTGCTATTACTCCTGTCTGCAAATATGCCTGCAGTTCTCAGGCTGAAATATCACCATGCCAAGTTTATATAACCAAAGTGTTTTGGTTTGAGTTGTTTTATTAACTAATTAACTTGGCCCCATTTGGCACCCTGATGAATGGATTTGTCTTGCTGCATGAGACATTGCCACTACTCCCTGTGACAAACATACGTGATTATTTTTATGTAAAGAAATGCATAAGTTTCAGTTTGTGTAATCACAAGTTGACAATCTAGAAGGGGAAATTAATCCCAACAAGAACCAAGGGCTCAGTCTGACCAGCAAGTGCACAGGGTCTGGCTGATGTGGTCATAACCCAGCTGTTCCTGCCGAGGATCCCTTTCAAAGGGAGGGGCCTTCAGGAACTGATCTTAGGAGTAATTTTCAGCAGGGGCTAACCATCCTCTGCCACTCTCCTCATTTCACATGCTTTAGCCAGGAATGTGGAAGGGCCACAGGGTCAGAGCTCCGTGTTCCTTATCTTACTGACCTGTATGTTTGTGGGACTCACCTGGTAGTATTTATTTGTGTGGGTATCCTAAAATGACTCGATGGCTCTGACAGTCCCTATGCTGTGCCCACCAGAAACCTCTCTGTATTTTAAGGGTCACTTCCTGCACATATGGCTGGGATGTGACTTCCTATGTATTTCAGGGCTACAGTGTGTTGTTACAAAGCTCAGCATGCTTTAATATGAAGGTCTACCATTTCAAACCACTTCCTATTGCTGTGTTTTTTACTCTCTGTTTCAGACTCTTCCTCGCTGTTCCTGCCCAGTGAGGATTCTGTCCTTCTCCTCCTAAACCTTCTGTCTTTACTTTATAATCTTAACTGAATATTTTTATTAAATAGTTTTTAACTCTGTATTTAAATTTTCACATGGAAACTCTGTATTTTGCACACGGTGAAAATTGTTTTAGCTTTATTTATGATATCTGCTGTAAACAAAAATAAATGTAGTTCTTTATAAGTCTCCTTGTTTCATCTCTTCCTTATATAAAAATTTCCTGAGTACAGACTTAACAGTGACTTCACGCTGGTTTTGCAAACTCCTCTTCTGGTGGATGCTGTGGTGTTACCCTTCTTGTGGCCTGGGCCACAGGCCAGAGAGTTTCACTGTGGTGGTGTAATTGCACGTGTGTCCCTTTTGAAAGGGATATACGTCAAGGTCCTTGACAAGTTATCCCATCGCTGCAGATCCAAGGTGCCTGGTGTTGGGATTTATCCTTCCTGGCAGTGATAGCTGGTGTTGGTGAGCATGGGGTTTGCTTGTATTGCATACACAAATGGCACTTGTCCTCTTCTCTTTGACTTCTGTTACCTTTCCTCATGTTATTATGTTACATATTAACATATGTCACAAAGGTAATAAGTTAATGTGTTTGGGGTTTTATATTGTGTTCAGGAAAAGGTAATAACTGTGGATAAAGCTTTATCTTTGCTACTCACTCCGGAGTGCTATTTGCAAGTTCCCAGTATCTTCTGGACCCCTGGAAGCTGCAGCTCCTGGTGACCTATTGACCTATTACCTGTTAACAGTGACTTTGTTTTATTTATTTATCCTTCCTTTACTCTGTCATGGATTTTCTCTATTTGCATTTTTGTATTTAAAGCTGGTGATGTGATTGTTTTTAAATACACCTTTTGGGTTCTCTAAAATAGCTTTCCTAAGTCTTCCTCCCCTTCATTTTCTTTCTTTTGCTTACTCTGCAATTCTTAAGCTATAATCTCTTCCTTTGTATGTCAAGGAAAGAAACAAATCCCAGAGAGAAGAGTCCCAATAATTTAGTGGAAGGATTGTGTGATTTTTTTTTTAATGCAATCAAACTGAGCCTCACTGGGGTTGTTTGAATGACAGAAATTAATTTTTTTAAATTGTTGCTAAAGACAACATTGCCAAAGAACAACAACTGTTATTCTCAATTAGCTATTCCATCTTCCCTGCCAAAGGAAAAGCCACCATGCACAGTAGAAAGTTTGCATAATGAAAACATGGGGCAACAAATACCATTGAAGACAATACTTGGCACTTCCTTAGTTGCAATGGGCAAAGCAGTTCGGGTGAAACTAAATATTACTCTTTGCACAATTGACAGTTTCAGAGCAGGCTCAAGAGGCAGTGGCAGAGGAACATCAGAAGAGGGTTTTGTCTGCGGAAAGTGATGATTTGTTTGGCACTCAAGCTTTGAGAGGCTTCAGATGTTCATGCTGTTCTCATAAAGTTTCACTTATTCCTGCTAAAATATCAGTACAATGACTTGGAATTGGGTAATGTTAGAGCCTAGATTTGTTTCTTTTGGTGATGCAGAAAGCCAAACAAGTCAAATGACTAGACAAAATCCTATTGGTAGAGGCATATACCTTGCAGTAAACAGTCCATGCCCTGGAACACTAATGGACAAGACAGGACACAGTGTATGGAAAAGAAAGAAAACAAAGTAAGCAACATGAGGGAAGCAAATTTGTGTTAGTTCCCTCACTCTCAGTCAAAATTATTACACAATAAAAATAAATATTCCCTGTTTAAATATCAATAATGCTTTTGAAAGGAGAGACTAGTGGGTTAAGTTCTGTGTGAATTTAACAAGTGTTGTTTGGGACTCCTCGGAGCAGGAGACTTGAATCCTCTTCCTGCTTTTCTCTGGAGCTCTCTCCAAAAGCCGGGATGCTCTCAGTGTCCAGCAAGCAAGTCCTGTTAGAAGTGCAACTCAAAGTTATAATACTTTGTCCCTTGGCATAGCTGGAATTATTTGAAAGGTAGACAAGCTGCTACTCTAGTCTTGAGCTGCCCTAGAACTGGGTGTCTTGCAAAAACTCTGATTTTAGAGCAGATGATACTTATGCCTCTTTACCTAGTTAATGCTTTCTGAGACCTGATGTTATAGATGCCATTGTAGCATGAGAAGGATAAAGGTGACATTCGCTGTGTAAGGCAGGCTCAGGAGCTGCTCTGCCTTTCCTCCTCTTTATACTGGTTCAAGTGGGGTCTAAACTTGTCTGTTGCCAGGAGAGCCATTTGGGTTGAAAATATGTACAGAGATGTGCGTCTTTTCTTAATTACATTTCTTTTTTTGAAAAGCCAGCCTAACCTTTCATTCTCAAAGCCAGGCAGCATCAGCTGTCTTAGATGCCTGTTAATGAAAATCAAACATGTCAGGATTCAGTAAAGGTGACCTGCCTTTACTGTAATTATGCTAATGCTTTGTAATGTTTTGAATGTACTTGATTTGAAGAGTACAGACACAACTTCTTAAAATCACTCAAATTCAAACAGCAGCCTTTCATTAACTCTACCAAGAAGAGTAATTTCTGTTCCTCTTAGTTTCTTCTAAATTACTACAGCTATAAAATGCCAGTGAAAGTTGCTTCTGTATGTCTTCCAACCTCAAGCGAGGACTATGGTCTGCATTTTTTCACAACATTATGGCAATTAGTTACTATAATGAACTTTAATTCACTTCTGGCTCACTCATTCCTCACGTTCCAATCAAAACAAGGAGTTTTGAAATGCACTGAATTCTGCATTAATATTTATGTTTTTGAAGACATGACATGTTTGCAGATGACTTGATTTTTTTGCATGAAAGATCATGTCACTGGAGATCAGAAGACATTATGTATTAATGCTTGATCCAAGTATACATATTAATCATGTAAATATTTCCCCAAGTCTCTTTCCTTTTCTCCATGAACTGTGTTCACATAAAAAGAAGGGAGCCTTTGACCTCATCTCATCAGGTGGTGGGCTCCAAACTTGTTTGAAAGGGATGGAATTTCTGAAATGTTTTTTTGAAATGTGAAATTATGAAGAAATTTGCATGTTGCTATAGTACTGAATTTGCTCTTTCAGCATTTATTCTGCAGGTATTCATTCATTTATTCACTTCTTTGTTTTAACATTTTTGGTCCTTTGAGTTTGTGTCCAGAAATACTGTTTTGATAGACACCGATCACTCTGGAAACTGAAACTGTTGTTGCTGCACTCCAAATTCACGATTAATACATGCCTTAATATACCAGACTAACACAGATTGCTCTGATAAAATACATATTTACTCTAAAATAGTGTATCATTGTAGCAGGTTCTGTTTGAGAATCAGTTTTTTCTGGAGATATACATTCAAGTATATCTAGTGGGATTCCACTGAGTTACTTTTTTTTTCCTATCTATTAATTTTTTCTTAGTTTGTATTAGAATGTTAATGTGCATTGTCCCCATGGATGCATTCAGAAGTTGTGGGGGACTCTGTCTTGCTTTGACAGCTTCAAATTCCCTGGTTATTTTCATGACTGAATTCCAAAGTCTCTGTTTATCGTAGGGATGGGAGGAGGTCGGGTCCATGGAGGAGCCCCTCACAGGATCATGGATGGAGAAGGGGCAGCAGAAAAGCATTTGTAGGCACTGGGATTGGAAGCCAGGCAGATGGTCTGGTCCTGCTGCCATGGGGAGCTGTGTGGCACCTCACAGATAGTGGGAGTATCAGTCGTGTTTATTCTTTGCCACTTGTCAGCCACAATAAAGTGGAAATTACTTCTGTTATAAATATGAAGGAAACATGGGGAAAAAGCAGGAGAAATGTGGCAAGAACTGAAATCTGTGAAATGTCAGCCACCATACCTTTTACAGGAATCCCTTTTCAAGGACCTTTTTCAAAAACCTGCCTGGTGTTATCTCAGGTGTGATGAAAAGTCCAAGTTTGAACAGGACATCAGTTTGGGAATGCTTCAGTTTCAAACTCTGACACAGGCAGTGCTACCATGCAGACTTAGATATTTTGAGCTCAGGTTACAGGACGCAGCTGAAGCTCCAACAGGTTTGAGCTTGGGTTTCACTTCAGTGTGGGCTGGTGATCACTGTATTGCAGCAACACCAAGGTCTAACCAAGTTGGGGATGTTTCCCCATTCCCTGTCCCAGTTCCATGTGGGCTGTGCTTTCCTGGTGAGTGCTTTCTGCCCTGGATCTCACCCCTGACCTCACTGGGTTTGTTTCAGCTGTGCTTGCACAGCAGTGGTGTTAAGACACCTTTCTTCTGTCCTCACAGCTTTCTTAAAGCAATGCTGTATTGTAAGCTAGACTCAGATTATTTTTTTGGTTTATGGCATAGTAAGAAGTCAGGCAGTAAAGCATGCTGGGTGTGCTACAAATCAATTTGTAGTGTGCTGACTGAATTTCTTAATGTCAGTTGTTGATGACAACTGGTACTTGCTTTCACCATCAGAGCTGCCCACGTTTGTGAGTAATTCCACTTTAGAATTGCTTATTCCTGTCGTTGCCTTAGTCAGCAGTTCCCTACAAGGCCAGGCAGAGTCCACTTATCCTGTGAATGAGTTATGAGGTGACACAGTTTAATGGCAGGCCAAGAGCCTTGGGATTGCCAACCAGGAAAGCAGGATGCAAGTTAGCCTGGAGTCTTTACAGGGGGCACTGTGTTGTGTGGACAAGCTGCACAGTGGGGAAAGTGAACCCCATGCCAGCCCAGCACCCACCTCCCACTAACCAGAGCAGCACTCTGGATTTCAGTGGTGTTTTTTCACCTAAGGACCAGAAAGCCCTTTGCCAGTCCTGAATGGTTGGGGCAGCTTGGGGTAAGTACTGCTCCTGCTTTCACAGCTGTAAGGGAGTCACAAGAGTGGGGGTGTGCCAGAGGTGCCAAAATATCACATCCTGACTGGAGGTTCAGACACCTAATTGTGGTAGGTTTTGTTCTTCCCGCCCACCCCCCGAACAAGGCCTACATCCAATCATTTCTTCTCTGCTTTTACCATAGCTGCAGAGCGGGTGCGGAGCTTGGGGCAGGGCAGTTGTGGCAGGGTCTCCTGTCACTGCCAGAAGCAAGTATGAATAATTTCATATCCCCTCTGAGGACTCAGCTGGGGGATCTCCACCTGGTCAGTCATCAGACCTTGTGTATGATGTGGGGGACCCCAAGTTGGGCAGGTCAGGATGTTCTTGGAGGTGTTTTCTGGAC